CGGAGCAGACTTCAGACTGCACAGAGTTGGCAGAAAAGCTACGCCGATAGACGTCGATCCGACTTGGAGTCCAAGTCGGGGATATGGTCCTCTTGAAAGTGTCGCCTTGGAAAGGTGTCATTCGATTCAGGAAGCGGGGCAAGTTGGGCCCAAGATTCATCGGGCCGTTCAGGGTTGCAGCCCGGGTGGGCAAGGTGGCGTATATGGATCTGCCAGCCGAGCTCAGTCAGATCCACAGCACCTTCCATGTTTCGCAGCTGCGGAAGTGCCTGTGGACGATTCAGCAGTAGTACCGTTGGAGGATATTCAGGTTGATGACAGCTTGAATTACATTGAGCGCCCAGTCGCAATACTTGACAGAAAGACCAAGACGTTGAGAAACAAGAGGGTGGAACTAGTAAAGGTGCAATGGCAGCACCGCAAGGGTTCGGAATGGACTTGGGAACCGATGGACGAGATGATGGAGCATTACCCCGAGCTGTTTCAGGACCAGGCAGCAGACTTCGAGGACGAAGTCTAAAATAAGTGGGGGAGATTTGTAGCACCTGGTTTCCGGTATGTGAATTTTATTTGAGCATTGCCCTAATTTAGCCTTGGACTCGGCGAGTCATAAGGTCCGACTCGCCGAGTAGGGACGAGACTCAGGACATGTTTAAGTGGGCGACTCGGCGAGTCCATATCTTGGACTCGGCGAGTCACCGCTGCTGGATGAAACCCTAAGTTTCAAGGGTTTGCACCCTATTTAAACCCTCATTCCGCCCCAACTCGTCCCCATTCACCCCCAGAACTCCCCCAACATCGTTTTCCCTTGTTTCCTTGAGAGATTGAAGTGTTCTTGGTGTGTTCTTAAAGGTTTTGAGGAGAAAGAGGAGTAGATCAAGAAGAGGAGAAGGAGATCATCCATCTTTGTGTCATTTCAACATTTTCCTTGAGGTATATCTCATTTTTCCCCTGTTTCTATGCTTAGGATTTCATTTGGGACACCCTTGAGCAATTCTTCAAGCTTGTTTGTGCTTAATGTCTCGTAATAAGTGGATTAACCTTTAGATCTAGGCAAGATTAAGCTCCAGGAGCTCAGATCTGTTAGCTTTATGGCCCCATGTGGCTTGTTCATCCTAGATCTACCCTTTTGAGGCATTTTGCACCCTAAAATCCACATTAGTGAATATCCACACGTAAAGTTGGAAACTTTACGTGTGATTTGTGTCCTAGAAGCCCAGATCTATGAATGGCATGGACTGAAATCGAGTAAATCTGTGTATTTGGTGGATGCATGGCGACGACTCGGCGAGTCGTATAGGTGACTCGGCGAGTCTGGTCGCGAGTCACCGATTTGGTCCCTTCATGATGTGTCGAGTCGAGCCGTGAGTCACAGGGGTGACTCGGTGAGTTGGGAGCTGAACTCACCCATGTTAGGACTCGGCGAGTCAATGCCCTGACTCGGCGAGTCCAAGGCAATCTTCATAGATCAAGAACAGACTCGGCGAGTTGTTCATACAACTCGGCGAGTCTTAGTATAAAGTGTTCTTCGGATGAAGATGAACTCGATGAGTTGTTCATACAACTCGGCGAGTAGGATGAAGGAGTTGAATGACAGTTAGAAGGTGAACTCGTCGAGTCATAGCCCGACTCGACGAGTATAACCAGGGACCCAGGACAATGGTTTGCTAGGGACTCAGCGAGTGGTGATCCACTCGGCGAGTCGGGTCAACTGAAAGTTGACTCTGGCATTGGTTTAGAGCTAGACCAGGGGTAAAATGGTCATTTTACCTAAAGGACAGATTAGCAGTGTTTGATTGAGTATGTTGTGGGAATTGCAGCCGGAGGACTCCCGGAGCAGCAGCAGTCAGTTAGTTCCCGATCAGTTCAGCAGCTACTTTGAGGTGAGTTACCTTCCAGTAGTGGTGGGTCTAAGGCCACACTGCCGGCCCACCAGTAGGAGATGTATGATAGATGATTGTCTTTGTGATATCATCTAGGTTTGCTATTACCTGTTATGTTACATGCTATCATGATACGTTATATGCAATAGTAGTAGAGTTCGGTTGTTAGGACCGCTGGGTAGTCAGACACCCCAAAATTATCTGACTGTATGTGATGGCATGCTTGTATGTTGATCTATTATGTTATGCAATAGAGGTAGCGGGAGGGGACCAGTCCCCGAGGATCGGTTGTTAGGACCGATGGGTAGTCAGCACCCCAGAATGGCTTGACATGGGTAGTCAGCACCCCAGAATGGCTTGACACGGGTAAGACGGCACCCCAGAATGGCCGTATGGGTAGGTCAGCACCCCAGAATGGCCGTACCGGGTAGTCAGGCACCCCAGAATAGCCTGGCAGTACGTATGCTATGTGTTTGTGTGGTATGTGGTACGTTGGGGGAACTCACTAAGCTTTGTGCTTACGTTTACAGTTTTGTTTTCAGGTACCTCTGCACCGAAGGGGAAGGAGCCGGCGCGGTAGCGGCACGTCGTACACACACTCTTCGGTTTCCGCATTTACGAGATTCACTGGGATTGTACTCTGATATTTTGATGGGATGTATGGTTTGACCTTTTAGAACATGATTGCGATGTGTTATGGTGTGATCAAACCATGTTTTTATTTATTAATGTTTTCTAAAGTAATATTTTAAAATGAAATTTTCGGACATAAAAAATTGGGTTGTTACAATATTCTTTTAAGTTTTTTTAATCGGTCAACATTCAAATACATACACCAAAGTTGACATTATTACCACCCTATAAAAGTTTCGATTTTGTTTCAATTGCGCCTTCTTGTCACATAAAACTCTTCTCATTGCCCTTCATTTTAACCATCTTGCCTTTGTACGTTGTGTAACGCCATCTTCAACATCTCGTTCCTTGTGGATCATAGAGCCCATGTACTCAAAACTCTCATTTGGGTGTAAAATATATTCATCGACACATACTTAGTCTTTTACGGTTTTGCTCATTACTGAATTTGCACCATAGATATTATGTCTTATCATTGTCTGACACATAGCTATTTTTTTTGTTAATGATGCTTTCCAAGTATCCAATAAGCCATTAAACACCTTAGCTACATAATCCTAAACATCCTTATAATATGATAGTTCACATGTTTATAGTAACTCAATCCTAAGCCATTAATGTTGTATCCAAGGAATTAAAATAATGGTTTTTATTTAAAAAAAAACGATCCAACTTATATCGACCAATCCCGACCTGATCCAATCTAATTGTTATCCAATTCACTAAAAATCATGAACTTTAGTCGGTCATAACCTTACACACACAAAATGCACTATAACATAGCCTTCTCATACATTTAATCACTATACTTCATAAGAACATCGACAATACAAGATAATCACAAAGATTGAACAGAAGTTGAATGAAGTGTAAAATAGAGTTGAATGGTTCAATAAGCAGAATAAACTAAGGGAAATAGATTTATTAAGATAATTAACTTTTCTTTTTGTTAATATTTTGGTAACTTTTTTTTTTTTTTTTGTACACATCTAAGCAACGAACTTTTTTGAAGTATTCACATATAACCATTATGACTGAAAGTAATCAGCTACAGTCGGTCATAATGATCATATGTGAACACTTCCTAAAACTTTGTTACCTAGATGTGTACAAAAAAAATAGTTACCCAAATGTGAACAACCCGAAAAGGTAATAGTAAATTACACGAATGGTCCTTATGGTTTGAGTAATTTGTGCGTTTGATCCCTAACTTATTTTTAAATCGAATGATACCTATTGTTTATTTTTGTTGTACGTTTGATCCCCATCTTACCTAAAAGACTATTTTGTCCTTTTTAATTTACTTTTTAATTAATTTTCTTATTTATGTTTTTATTTTTTTTATATTTAAAAAAACTTAATAAACCCCACCTATCAGTATCTCATCACCGTAAACCTGAAACCGCATTTGAGAAATTTAAGTTGGATCCCACCAATCACCATTCTATCTTTCATCTTCCTTAACTTACATTTCTTTTTCATTTTTAGTAATACCGACGTTTTCACAATCCCTTCTTTTTTCGGTCCTTCAACTTCGACGAACCAACACCACAACCCTTCTATTGGGTTGTGGTGGTGGAAAAATAAATGAAGAGACCGTGGGTTGTGGGTGAGAAGATACAAATATATGATGTCTATTAATTTTTTTTAAAATATATTAAAAATAAATACATAAATAAAAAAATTAATTAAAATTGGCACAATAGTTTTTGAGGTAAGATAGTGACAAAAAAAAAAAAAAAAAAAAACAGTTGGTATCATCCGAATTAAAAAATAAGTTAGGGACCAAACGCACAAATTACCCAAACCACATGGACCATTCACGTAAATTACTCTTACCTTTTTCGGTTTATTCACATCTGGGTAACTATTTTTGTTTATACACATCTAGGTAAAGAACTTTTTGGAAGTGTTCACATTTGAACATTATGATCGGATGTAACCTGCTACAACTAGGGGTGAGCAAACCCAAACCAAGAAACCGACTAAAACTGACAAAACCGAAACTGAAAAAACCAAAACCGTAGCAAAACTGGCGGTTAGGGTTTGAATTTTCTAAAAATCAAAAAATCGAATTCGGTTTCGGTTTTTACCCAGAAACGGACCCATCCAACCCAAGAAACGGACCCATAATTGATTGTGTTTTGGTTGTAATAGATTATTTAAGGCTTTGGTTGTAACTTATAGTAGACTCTTTGGTTGTAAGACTCATGTTTTTAAAATATTAGTGTTTTTGAAGTATTTTACTTCTTGCGTTATTTATGAAAAATGGGTTTAAACCTAAAACCCATGAGTATATGGATTGAACCTAAGAAGCTGAAACACTGTCCAAACCGACCTTAGAACCAAATAAACCGGACCGATTAGAAACCGATCCTATTGGGTACTAAAAATCATAATCCGAACATTTATGGGTTGAGTTTGGATCCAAAACCGACCCAAACTGACTCATGCACAACCCTAACTAGAGTCGGTAATAATGATCTTATGTGAACACCATAAAGTTCGTTACATAGATGTTGAAAAAAAAAAGATAGTTATCAAAGATGTGATCAAACTGAAAATTCTCAGGAAGTCTATCAAAGAGAGATCAACGGATAGTGGCCGCCCTAACAAACATGTCCTACCAATGAATTAAGCTATCTTTAGAATGATTTAGGCTATCATCACATCTTGAGTTGAATGTATCAACAAACAAGGAAATTCAAAACCATATACATCAAAATTCAAAATCCTTTGAACTTCACTGTATTCCCCTTAGAAAAACACAGCAAACAGGCAGTATATAAAATCCATCACAAGTAAAACAACAAATGTTTGTATAATCCAAATGAAATACCATTTCCAAAAAAACAATTCCTGCTTTTAAACTCAAAAAAGAAATCCCATTAATCAATCTTCATCATCAATGATCTTGGTTCCTAGACCCTTGAGCCCTTCAGCTGGGATCTCTGCAACAGTGACAAGAGAGTAAAGTTCTTCCTTGGCATCTTCATCATCATTCCTTTTGCGTGCAATACGCACTCTAACTCTTCTTGGAACGCTTCTGATTCCTCTGCTCCACACGTACTTGTTTAGCTTCACATCTATTCTCACATCTGTTGTCCCCATCGATTTCTGTGTAAACTTCCTGATTTCTTTAATGGCGTTGGGAGCCTTCTTCTTGAATGTGCTGTCAGTATTTGATCATGTAAACATCAACTGTTGTATTTGCGTGTGATTGTTCGTCTTTTACTTAATCAACCACATTTTAAATCGAGGGAATCAAGCATCTGAATATGGAAAACAGATGAATCGGAAGCACGTACCATCCATGGAGGCGCTTGTGGAGGTTGATGGTGTACTCCCTGGTAACTACCTCTTCTTTCCTACCTTTAGTCTTCTCCACCATTGTTAATCTCTCTCAAACCTTACCTTCACCTGCACATAACATTTTTCAGTACGATTTCCATACGAAAAGATAACATTGTGACTGCTTGTGTAAAAGAGATGGGAACGCACCTAGGGTTTGAGATTTGTAACCAAAATGGTTGTAGCGAGAGAAATTGAGAAGAATATAAAACCCAACCTTGTATAGTTAGGATTCGAATACCCGGATTTCTCTTCGATGGGCTTCAACCTAATTTGTTCGGCCTAACAGGCTAAAATCCTGCAGGGTAAAAAACAATATTGGCTTCCTCAGTTTTTATAAATGATGGATCATTTTTTCCAAAAACTCCCAAGAGTTTCGTTTTTTTCCACAATCTCCCTGGTTTAAAAATGGAACAGTTGGTTAGAAATATGTGTTAATAAAAATATGAAACCAACTTCTTTTATTGGTTTTTCTGTTACCGAACCCATTTTACTTGAAAAAATCTGACCAAATCCAGTTAGCTTTTAATCAAACCGGTCAAAACCAAGCCATTTTTTAACAAAAACGGGTTTTAATCGGTCTTTGCGCACTTTTATTCTTGGTAAAAAAAATCTTTTATAACGGCAAACTTTAAAACTATTCATGTATTTCACTCATATCCAAGAAGAGATTTGAACCCTTAATAATATGGATTTTCTCACTTAATTGAAATAACACAATAAACTTAGAGCATTTCCGATTATACATATAAGATATTAATAAATGTTATTTATAAATTGATCATAAAAATGTTGTTTTGTTATCGATTGTTCCATGTAGATCAAATTTTCTTTTTTAAAGAAACATTTTTCCTTTAAATTTAATTTATTTATTTAAAAAACACAATATTAAATCATGAATGTATATCATTTTGGCATCTATATATTTATACATCTATTATAATAGATGTCATTTTTCTTGGTCCATGTACATTGGAACCCTCGGCCCTCTTCAACTCACTTTTAACTACTACAAATCAAGGGAAAATGACTTATGATGTCAATGTTTCCATTTGGTCATTTTGTGTATTCTATTTACCATTGAACTTGTTTTTTGTGTTCCAAAATACCATTGTAACCTGCTATTGAAGGTTTCCGGTGACTTCGTCACCTCCGACGACTCTCCGACCATCTTTCATAGATGAACATTAATCAACTTCGAGTTCAAGCTGTTCAAACAGTTTCCATGGCAGTTTCAATATCTTTGAGAATCGGAGGTACACAAAAAGAGAATCGAAACTAGCCCCCACCGATTTCCTGATTTTCAATCCAAGAACAAGATACACAAACCTAGGGTCTTCAATTTTCAGAAATCGTTCCAAATAAATGAACGTAGGGTTTCTGAAGTTGTTCTTCAGCTTCAATTTCCAAATTTTCAATTTGGAACCCACCGATTTCTTGTATGTTTTCAGAAATTGTTCTTCAACTTTGATTTTTGCTGGAATGGAGTTCGATCTGATGTTTTAATGATGTTCAAATTTTTTGTATATATGAAAAACAATTTTACGACATTCATAGCGTCCTTCACCAAATTCATGAAATCGCCGGAAAATTCATTCATCCGCCGGAAAATTCATAGTCACCGAAAAATTCATATATTGACCGGAAAATTCAACTTAACCGGCTAAACCTACAGTACCCGATCATAATGGTTTTTTTGAATACCAAAAACAAGTTTAATGGTATATATATATATATATATATATATATATATATATATATATATATATATATATAAAGATCAAATTGAAACAGTGAAGATAGTTAGCTATCCTTATAAGTCATTTTCCCTCCAAATGTTAGACTTTTCAAATAATGATTCCTAATTTGTTAAATTAATGTGACATAAGTACAAAAATATTGTTAGCATAAAAAATATTCTGTTTTACTTATCTTGGAATGAGAGCCTTTATTTTGAGTTGAAATTCCAATATTGATAGGAGCAAAAGTGGTGTCAAGAATGCATGATGGGAACAAAACCATTATTTCTTGAATCATATCTCGTAAAGAACGTTTTTTTTTATACCAAATAACAACCAATTTCACAAAATTAGGTTACTAACTTCCTTATAACTTTTTTTACAGTTTATGTTTTTTTTAATTACTTTATATTTTAAGTTTTACACTATACTTGGACTGACAAATAAATTACCGCCTCGAATCATAATAAACTCTTCATCAAGGTTATGATTTTATACTTCCTTAAACTCAACACTTATTGGGGATTTTGATTTATTATGAAGAAATCCTAACATTATCTCCTTCAAATCATGGTTGCAAAGTTTGCATTCGATTGTTTTAGGAAAAGTAGGGGTCTGTACGTATGGGGCAAACCGATTGTTGTAGGAAAAGTAGGGGTCTGTACGTATGGGGCAGTTTGGTTTGGTTTTTAGCTAACATTGAACCACTGGAAGCCACTAGGAATTAATTAATATTGGTTTTGGTTAATTGTTAATATTTTTTAATCATAATGATAAAAAATTAGATAAAAATAAAAATACTTTGCTATAAAAAACTGAAAAACATAAAGTACATTGTTATAAAAAAAAGTAAGCAATTCACTGTTTATAACCTTATTAATATGATAGAAGATTAGGTATCTCATTTAATTCGAAATAACTACCTTTTTAAATTTCAATTCAAAAAATAATTACATACCAGATATTTAATATTATATTATATTAAAACATTTCTTAATATCATTGGTTCGGGTCGGTTCGGTTTTTAGTGGTTCGGTTTTGGATGAAAACCATAACCAAAACATATGCATTTGGTTAATTAAAAATAGAAACTGCACCACCTTTTTTAGTAATGGTTCGGTTATTTCAGTTAATTTGGTTTTTGTTAGTTTTTTTGGTTAATATGCTCACCCCTAAAGAAAAGTACAAAAATGATCTAGATCTAAATCCACTAAACCTTACCCTCAACTCACAACTCTCATTAAACTAATTTCTTAATATCTTTTGTCATTTCCATGAAAGGCTTTTCACCTCATCATTCTTTCTTTCAAAACCTAGAATAGATGACATTTATCTTCCATAATCAAGGCTCTAAGTTATAAACAAGCAACTAGCTAATATTGAGCTCATACAAGAAAAAGGATATCAAAATGATCAAAAAAAAAAACTTGTAGTCTTCAAATCATTGTTTTGCCACCACATCGTAGTGCACTTTTCACCACGTCATGGTGAGGCTGGAAACAACCATTCCATTTCTTTTGTAATGCCATTATGTAACATCCGTTTCCTGGAATAGATCTGTTTAGGGCATTAAGGTTTCAAAAACTTGGTTTGGGGGGGAAATCGAGTGTCACGGCGTGACCATTAGGTGGTCACGACGTAATAAGTTGAGTTGAAGAATACACACATTAAAGGAGTGGTCACAACGTGACACATAACTGGTCACGACTGAAAAGGGATGCAACCCAAACCCATGATCTTTTAGGGTTATCTTCATATTTAAGCACTCTAAACTCGGATTTGGGGGTCATTTCTTAGCATCCATCTCCCTTAAACCCCAAAATTCGTAACCCTAGATCATTTTGCCGGTTTTAGATCATTTTTACTGGTTTTAGTGCTCCTTGTTGAAGAAGATGGCCCCTTTGGTGCATTGTTTCAACAATCAAGATTCTTCTTCACCATCTTGTATTGTTTTTGGACCTTTGTAATCCCTAAAGCTCTTGCCTTTCTCAATTAAGCATGCTAGATCTAAGTTTTATGCACTTGTCTTCATGATTGGGTTGGGTAGCATGCATAAGATCCATAAAGTTTAGCAACTTTATGGATCATTGAGGTCTTTTGTTTAGCATATGTCTCAAATCTAAGGATTTATGGTGGTTTGGACTCCAAGCATGAGTTTTGGCCTCATTCTCTTTTATTTCGACCTAGTTAGTGTTTAAGTCATGCATTGGACATGCATAACTAAAAAGCTACGATTTTTATGGTCCTTTGGGTTAGGGAAATCCTTCTAGATTGTTGGAAGGTTTGGCTTAAAGGATTAAGGACTCAAACAATTAGGATTTTGTTTCATACATTGATCACATTGTGACCAGGAGAGTGTCACGACGTGACGATGGGAGGTCCCTCGACTAATTTGCCTGGATGTATTCACGACATGACTGTGGAAGGCTCACGCCGTGACATCAGTTGTTGGGGTTATCTATGACTAATTTAACAAAGTTAGAGCGGGGTCAAGTTGGAATCGGGTTGAGTGCATTCTCACGACATGACTAAGTTCTGGTTATGACGTGAGGGTCATATATTGGTATTGTCAATTGTTGACTTTGACTTTGACCATTGAATTTCGGCATGGGTTGACTTTTGGTTAAATAAAAGATTCTGGAGTGTAGACTGAAAGGGTACTCTTTATTGCTATTAGGTCCATGTAGGATCAGTCCTTGTTGGGTGAGAGATGTGATGTTTAGATGTTGCTTGCAAGTTGAGTCCTCTCGCTATACTTGCATGTGTGGGTAGTATATGCATGTTAGCCAGTTGGGTCTTATTTTTTGATTCCTGTTATATGTGAACTGAGTTGTTGGTTACTCTTGGACGGCTGTGAGCCCATGGGACTACATATAGTCCCCAGAGTTACTGATCACCAGTGAGATGTGTTGTTAGTCTACAGGGTGTGCTGTTAGCCCATTGGGATCGCTGATAGTCCTCGGAGTTGCTGATAACCCTTAGTTGATTATTATTCTATGTTGTATGCGCTATTTTGAGGGGACTCATTAAGCTTTGTGCTTACAACTGTGGATTATATATTTTGCGAGTACTCATTGGATTGCAAATGTGTGACTGTACACACACACATATTAGCAACTTTATGATTCAAGATTCCACATTGTTTTTATTATAACTTTGATTTCTAAATAATGGTTTATGAACAAATGATTTATCATGAATGTAACTTTATTAAAAATGGATGTTATATTATTTTTAAAATTAAAAATTTAGCCTGGGTTTTTGGGACGTTACACATTCAGCACCCAACTTACATCTATCAGTTCCATTTCATTCTCAATCAAAATAACATATTATTTCAACTTCAAAACATAATATGAACGCATATAGTACATCTAATATCATTCTATAAATTCAAATATCACCAAAATGACCAAAATACCCTTGACATCAAAATAATATTCTACATCATAAATATTCAAAAATCTTGGTTCCTACACCTCTTGTGTGAAATTTCACTCCCAACCATTAAACATATATACAAGGGCACAAACACACAATTAACCCTTCTCTTTGAATGGTTCATTACTTTCCTAGCCTATTTAGACCGTCTTCAACCCATAACCTTATCGTTTACGCTAAAACGAATATTTATAGTTTAAAAGATAATGT